CTAGTGTGGTAGCTATTTAACGAAAACTAAATATTAAATGATAAAACTCATTTCCTAATAAGCAGAACAGCTCGAAACCTAATACATAATAGTTTCAGTAGTTCTACCTCTCCAGACTTGGTCATTTTAACAGCTGTATGTTCACGCATCGTTTTTTCATTTTCACTTGACTTTCTAATAATTTCTTCGCGTGATTTATGTTAAAAGTCCTCTTTTTCTTTGGCCAATACCAAATTCAAATACTTAATCGTGTAGAAGACGTTGTAAATAGTACAAGTAGTCAGAAAGTCATAGGAAAACCAAGATGTTAAATTCCATAAAATAAAAACTTCAGTTAAAAAATAGATTTAAAACGATATATATCACTATGAAAATATATATACCTGGAAAATAATTGACAAAGTGCTGTTCCAGTGGTATTTACCTATATTTGACGTTATTTCAAGAATGAAAATGTGTGCAGAATAATTTATAATATTAATTATACTCTGTGATACCCACGTCTAGACACAATCCAATTTTTAACTCTAGAATTCGCACAGTTAATCTAATTCACTGTCAAATGGTCTAGCCAAAACTAAAATTCCATAGAACATGGAGTAAAATTATATGTATCATAGGTTTTCCTCATTCAAATTGAAATATAATTACACATCCAAGTTTCCAATGCTTGATACGATACTAGGAGACACAAAAAGTCCAGACATATAAAGACGATGTGCTTTGGATGTGAACCTTAATTGAAAATGATAAAATATTTACGATAACTCTCCCATCTGAAAAGAACTGTGGAGAATGCAACTTGGAAAACCTCTAATCGCAAGCGTCTACCTGGAATTATTTCAATTGTTTAAGAATGCTCTCACGTGTTTCTGTATACAGGAAATATTGCATAGGCCTAAAATATGCAGGTATTCATAAGTTCAATACAACTGAACAGGTATTGTTACATGGCATGCTTAAAAAAATCATGGATGCGTTATTGTGTCGAAAGATACTTAAGTAAAGATATTTTGATAGTACTTTCCATAAAACGGGGAACAAATACTAGTTCTTACGTTTGAAGCTCCAACGTAAATTATCTTTTTTTTTTCTAAGTTGCTAAACAATCATATCTGATACTGCAGAAATAATGGATTTTGTGTATATTAATTATTGATTGTAAGGTTTTAAAATTACATTCTGCTACACCTATTCTAATGATTCGAGAGTTTTGTGTAACGTCTATATGCTGCTTGCTTGTTTGTTTCAATAGTATGATCAAACTTACACAAAGGCTATCTGCGCATAGCCGTCCCTTGGAACTGATAAACTATAGCGAATGGAGTTAGTCAACTGCACTTGCCGCCAACCCTTGAACTACTCTTATATGGCCGAATAGTGGGATTTGACCATTATTCTTATAACACCCGCGGCCCTAAAGTGTGAAATGTGTTTTTTTATTGTTGTGACAAACAGAATTGCAATTAGAAACTGCCCGAGCACACTAGCCACTAGGCCACTCTCAGGATAATATATATACGCAGACATTTGGTTCAATTAGAGGCAGTCAGCATTTATCACTTTTGTAAGTGTTATGTCATTTTATATTAATCGTTGTTCTGTTTACGCACGCTATCTAAGTCTAATTTACGACATCCAACTGTCATTTTAAGTTCTTTTACCTGAGGATAACACGTCACATGTTCGTGTATAGACCTTTTATAAATGCATGTACCATTTGTGCTTCAGTATTTTTAGGCAATTCATTTTACAGAACTAATTAAGTCTATTTGTGCAACAAGTCAATTCATCCATCTATGTATTCACAACAAACAAAGTAAAAAACTTTTCATGTAGTGTTAGATACAAAAAAGATGCATTTCAAAGCTAAATAGTTATCTGCATCACGAATTTATAATGTTTACTTTTCATAAATATTCATTAGGTATTGTCACAAATATTAAACCTTTTAGACATTTGAAGAAAATAAAATAGTTATATATATACATTACTGCCATCTACCGAATATAAAATGACTTATTTGGATACATACACACTTGCAAAAACAATTTTTCAGCAGATTATCACAATTATGTGTAACAAAACCAGACTATTCGCAGGATGAAAAAAAATCATATACATATCAGTTTGCAACTTCATCAATTAAAAATAAATATATTGAAATTTAGAAAAATTTTGGAAAGTTGAAAATATATATTTTTATCTTCATCTAAGTGGAATTTCTATACTGACTGTTTCATATCGGATGAGCTACAATAATCTTCAAGGGATGAAAAACTTTGTAGTCTGTCAGAACTACTTTCTCCAGTCGAACTACTGCTTTGTTCACTCTGTGACTGGTCATAAGGCTATGAGAAAACAAACGTATGTCAGAAAAAGACCAACTAAAATTTAAAACAAACTTTTCTAATCTGCTCAGATTGCGAGAGTTCTTGTATTTAAGTTTAGACGTTAGATTGAATAAATATAATCGATAAAATCCAATTGTGCTGGCTCATATAAAATACATGAAATATTAGTTTTAGCATGGTTAAACAACATTAAGAAATATAAACGAATAACCATTTCATTTTGATTGAAAAAGTTAGTTATTAAATAGTTCAAACCACAACACACACACATATATATATATATATAGAGAGAAAGAGAGAGAGAGAAGGTTGTTACCAGTAAAGGTCACTGTAGATATATTATTCATGCTATTGTACAAATCTTATTGTAAATCTGGGCTTCCACTTAAATCATTAAAATTTGGAAAATTGGAAAGATAACGTCATGTGTTGCTAAGGTTACCCGCAATGTGTGTTTACATATATCTGTGGTGCAAATTTATTTTTTGAAATAATATTCACACAAATAGAATTGACTAAAAAAGTTCACTCCAAGATATAAAGAGTTTTACAACTTTTATTATCATTTTGAAAATGAGGATCGGATATCACGTATCCCCTGTACTTAGTCTATCATTCTATGACATTACGATATGCTTAACACATATGGCAAAGCCTGAAACCTTTCGACGATTTAAGTGGTTAATAATATAGCTTGTTGGCTATAGCTAATGTCAAATGACCGTAAATATTAAACACAATATAGATGCATAAATAGACTTGAAATGCGACTTATATTGCGCAAAATATAAAATGTTATAGGAAATCCAGTTGATAAGCGACCGAAAGGCAGCCTATAAAGTAGAAAGCGAGCTCTCTGTAAACAGTAATGCAGCTACCGTTAGTATCTCACAATCTTTAGATAACTTATCGTAATTGTGTAGTTTACATTATATCCAGGATAGAGATTAGAGACAATAACTGGCTTCTTGCTTCACGAGCGCTTTAGTTATTGTTGTTCAGTTATCAGTATTTAAGTTTTCACTAGTCTGCGCGAATTATATAAATCAAACAGAAAAATGGACCAACACAAACACTGTATCTAATATATATATATATATATATATATAGCTAAGTTTGTGTCTGTTTGTTCGCACCTTTCAGCCATCTTTTCATTATACGTTTCCACATTTCTTGATCAATTAGCACCAAACTTGACACAGTCATAGAATATGACACGAAAAAGATCATGAAGGGTGTGGGGGTTGGACCCCCATCTTCTTTATAAATAAACGTCAATATGTGTGTGTATCTGTTTTTTATACCTTTCCACATTTCTTGATCAATCAGGACCCAACTTGACACAGTCACAGACTATGAAATGACGAAGGTCATGAGGGGGAGGGCTTAGACCCCCATCTAATTTGATATTGATAGAATTCTTGAAAACAATATGTCTTTCTTTTCAGTATTGGTACTTTTATGTATTTTTATTGCACCTTTAATGTTTATTATGTTAAGAAAAAATAATAGAAGCACAATTTCCTACTCTTTGTTACAAACGAGTTTTTATTTCATCTGTCCAACGGACGGGTACTCTAGCTAGTTTGAGAAAACACGGTTTCTTATCTAAATCTTTTTCAAAGCATATAGAATATAAAAAAGATTTATTTTTAGTATGTAATGTTGGAGATTCCAGGAAAGGGAAATTAATATTATATTATGAATAGTTTTTCGTTAATACTTTAAAATGTCTACTGAGTGGGTAGCAACTGATTTATGTATATCACCTGTCGAGTTTGTGACATAATTTTATTTCTCACACATGTTCAATACTCAGTCGGTTTCTCTAAAGTATTTGTTTATTCAGTTGATGTTTTATAATGTTTCGTAATTGAACCGAACAAAATTTGATTGTTGTCTTAAAGTTATTTTTGTTTTTAAAGTTTGACTTTAAGTTATTATGGTTTATTATCCATTTTGTATATACATAGAAATAATCGGAGACGGCGGCAATAGTGGGCTGAAGCTACCCCAAAACGTGCCTTAGCCTCCCCTGAAGCCCCCCCCCCCCACTCAACGAAACGTTTGTTTTATGTTATGTCCTCAGTGTTGGACACTTTGATTTTTATTCTCCTTTTGAGGAGAACATAGATAAAACATACGTTTAAGAACTTTATGTTAAAGCTAGCTCACTTTCGATATACTGTGTGTGTCTTTAACCCACCTCAGGTCTCTCTCAGGGAAAAGGTTGGAGCTATCTCTTACAATAATTCAAGTTATTTTTCCTTCAAGTTTAATATTTATATTTGGTTCAAGAGTTGTCTACGATACAGCTAAAGTGCTCTTACATTCTGTACAATAAACATAGATTGTTAGAGCAGACACGAATCTTCTCCAGTGTTTCTTATTGTTATTTGAATGCATGGAGTATTAGAGTATCTGCATTACAATGAGCTACACAAGAGCTATTTACGAGTAACCATAATTTTGAGCTGATCGACTACAGGAAAGACAACTAGTCAACGGCACTCATAGCCACCAACTCATGAGCTACTCTTTTCTGACCGAATAGTGGGTTTTGATCGACTCTCTTATAATGCACTTATGACCATTCGTTCTTGAGATAACGGCTCGCGAACCAAGATTTTTTGGATTCACAGTTCGGACACCCTAAGAACTGAACCATGCCTGGTTTCTGATTTATACATATTTTATATAAATGTACACGTACTCTCTTAACAACGTTTTCCCGTTGTCACAGAAAACTCCTTGGAAAACGGGTATCTGTTACAGTAAGTAAATAGATATTGAAATTTCCTTCAAATGGAATTTTTGTTTGTATTTTATTTACCATCAAATATTTAATCTCCTATTTCATAAAGAGAAACGTTTTTCAACTGTTTGATTGTTTTCTCGTAAGTGATGCTAGTAAGAGGGATTCTTTCGAAAATCAATTTTAAATAAACCTAATTTTATATCAATTTAAATCTTTGTGTGTATTGTATTGTACCCTGAGAGATGCGCAAGTCAAAATGTTGGCATTAAAGAATTTTTTCTGAAGTTGAAAATCGTTTCTTCACTCAAATCTGTCCAATGATGCATTTTACTAAGCACTTCGCACATCGATAAATCTTGAATTATTTTGTCTCCTGTTCACAAGACATATAATAAAGAAGTTTTTCTAAGACGAGATTTCTAGTACCTCGTCATAACTTCCAAGTTCATTGTAAGCTCAGAAACTAAGTGAACAGTTTCCATCAAATAATATATATAAACTGACCTTAAGAATACACAAAAACAAAGATGCTATCACTCAGGAGTGTTGCGAGGGTCTGAAAGGTTTTCGGAGAAAATGTTTCTTTACCTTTGTCCTATCGACTAAACCTTCTCCTACATTCACATAATAGAATAATGTTCTTTCCATTTTTTTAGTCCTCACTACGTTTTCAAAGTCTATGTCACCACGTCTAGTCATGCTCTATCTGACAACAGTGCATTTTGACAATAGGTCTGAAGCGTAGTTTCTATTACAAAAAGCTCCGTCGTAAGGATGTCACATATAAAGCACGCCATTCCTACTTGCTGGCTATCCGTAATCCAACTACTGTACGAGGACGACAATTTTCCAGTGCTCAGAAATCCATAGGCACAGCGTCCAATGACTTCACCAGTCAGTCTTCTCATGGAATAGCATGAATACACATTTCATTTTTCAGTTTCTTGAAGTAAATGATAGTTGAACAGATATGTTGTGGAAGAAGCTTGTATTAACATGACATTTTTCTGACGGAGACACTTTTGGGTTATGTTGCATACTATTGTCTAGAACACGTGCACAGCTTCTGCTGCTCTCTTTTGTGTTCATAAATTCTCCCCCCTTAAATGACGCTACACTTTGCTTAGCGCGGCTGGTGTATGACTTGATGCAGGGGTATTTCTGGATAGTCCTGGTACCCTAAGCTGATATAGATTTCTTTTTTTCTGTCTTAAGTTCTAATCTCCGATGTGAACACACTTTTATGATTTGAGTGTATGAGTATTTTACGTCGGAAAGGGGTGTTACATACCCTTACCAAAAGCAACCAGTTTTCTGTGCATCTACCTACTAAACACCAATTTATTTCAAAATGTAGTTCTGATACATTCTGTTCCACAGCGACTTTCATTCAGCAGTGACTCGCTTATTTGCCTGTTCAAATCGGTTTAATATAACGTATTCAGCCTTCTGTATTACTTAAAATTTCTCTTGTGTACTTTTTAAAAATGAAACAAACAACAAAAACACATCGATGGTTGGTAGATTGGGGTAATTGTATTTCTATTTTTACTTTTTGTTCGTAGGATCGTCGGGATCATTCCTCACTCCTAACACAGTATTGTCAAAGTTTCTGCTTTAAAGGACTTGGTGTGAATTAGTAGTTAAGTGGTCGGGTTGCTGGCGGACAGGTACAAAGTTTGCGCTCCTGAACACGCTCCGCACTTTCATTCAACTGTGAGGGCATTGTAGCTCTGATAGAAAACTTCGCTTTTCGATTAAGAGTTGTCGTTTAGGCGATGGATGCGAGCACTTCCAATGTTTAATGACCAGTGTGCGAGTTACCGCTCTCAGGTCAAACGTTTTGTGACCTCTAATAAGGTCATCAATGCGTTATTAGTCAATACAAACTGGATGTGAAACATTTTAGTAACATATTTGCAACTTTAACAATATGCAACTTTTAAAAGCGTAGTTACACTGTATAACGTTTTGTGAAAAGGACCGAATTTTTTATTGAGCATAAATTCTAGGTATTTTTGTATATTTTATGCTATAAACATGTTTAAGTACAATATTTGATTCAAATGAATGCATCGAACAAATTTATTACCTTGCAAAACTGTATATATGTATTTTCGTAAATTAAAACTAAATTCAGTAACCAGTCTATATAACAATAATATTTTGTAGTTGCCCTATACTGTAAATGACTATAAAAAGCATATGTAATCCTAATTATGTCAAATACGTTATTAAA